AAATCTTCTGGTTTGCTTGGTGCAAGACCTTTTGCTTTCATGATACGTAAGATTTTGTTTCCAGTAACAAAACGTGTTTGAGCAACACCATGTGAATCACGAAGAATGACACCTATATGATAAAAATTCTTTCTGGTCAATGCAAAAAAATGCTCATTTTATTTTACCGATTTGTGATGGTGTTAAACCTTTCTTCGCCAATTTGCAAATTTGATCAACAACATCTTCGGATGTTAATTTCAACCACTAAGAAAAATAGACAAGTAACGTATGCTGGACGAAGAAGTCCTTTGTGAGAACTTACGGATGGTACAGTTCGTTTGTAGGGTAAAGCAGAATCTGAAATACCCTTGCTGAAAGAAAAATTTTCAGTTCGATTTGTCAAAATTCAATGGAAATGACATACCCAGGAGCATGCATACGACCCATGTTGATGGTTTTGTGTCACGAACGACTGGAGATCTAAAAAGAGAAAATGTATGTGACTTGTTGGTCAAAAATGGACGTGAATGGTTATTTCTTTGAAAGAGAAATAATAAATAAATAATATGGCCCTATTGAATTCACTTTGGCCTCCGATTGGAAAAAGAATGAAAAAATATTGAAAAAGATTTATTTTCATTTGAATTTACGGAGAAAATAATTATAAAATTCTAGTTTTTTAAATTAATCCACTATTTCATTTTTTAAATGAGAAAAGTCATGGTATATTCTGATTGGACGAAAACTCCAACCAATCAGTGCATTTACATATAGTTGTTTGTCAATATTGGTAATAGAAAACAAATCTTTTGTTCCTATCTTATATGTAGAAAAAAAGATTTCTTATCTAATATTTTTAGATTATTTTAGAAATAATTTCGTTCTTTCAGACTACTTAGAATTATCCATACTTGTTTCAAGGTATAAGAATTCAAAATCCACCGATAAAATCACTATACGCACATAATCGATCGTCGATTGTACGCACTTATCAAGTTACTTCGCGAGGAATTTTGTGATATATCCTTGAAATTCCTTGTTTTCCTGCGCTACACACCTGTCTGATAACAGTATAAGTGATTAATAATGAAAATCCATCTAGTTTAATTTTGTTAATCACTTCTTAAATAAGAAGATCATTGCAAATGCTACTTTTTTTCTTAATATCCGTATTCATTTTATATCATTGATTCACCCAATGAATAATAACGAGCGCATACTAAATATAATTCGTTGATATCTCTCAATTTAAACAAAATTATATTTTAAAACACGTGGATCGTTGCATTCGCAGTTTATTATTTCGCGTAGAAATAATTGTCTACATATTATTCGACACTGTACAAATTATAAAATATATAGAAATATGTGATAAGGCTTCTATCCTCCCTCGATATATCTTTTACATAATTTCCTCCACTGTCGTATAATGCATGACAATAGTTTAGGATAGGATAGTCGTTAGAAAAGTATACTTGAGCAAATGTGTAGTTATCGATTTCTTTTTAGTTTTCAAGCAAGTAATTGTTCGTCATGTCGTCTCATCATCGCTCCGGTGGTCCACCTTCGTTGATGGACGATGTGCACGATTTTGTAAGTTAAAAATCACTCACAATATAGTCGATATTGACAAATAAATCTCTTTCTAGGATCGTAATTTTCATTCACATCGATTCGAAGACAATCGAGGCGGTTATGGTCGAGGTGGTGGTGTCGGAATGAGAGGCAGGGGTGGAGAAGGCGGCGGAATGCGGGGAAGAGGAGGTCATGATGGTGGATTTGGTCATAGGGGTGGCTCACGTGGTGGACGTGGAGATTTCCATCAACATGATCGTTTCAATAACAACCACAATCAATTCAATCGACCAAACGACGATCAACATAGTGGCCAATCGAAAGTACCCAGCCTGTTTGATGTCGAACAACAACAGCCATCACGACCGTTTGATCGCGATTTTAATCGTGGTGGTGGAGGACGAGGAAGAATGCCATATCCACGTGGAGGCGGTAGTAGCGGTCGTGATTCATCCGCTGATGATCGAAGTCGTTCATTAGGAAACAAACCAAATATGGGTGACGCCCCACCTTCATTGCTAGATTTCGGCAGTGAAAAATCAGGACTGCCATCCAATGCTAGTAATCATTCTCTGCCTTCACTCTTATCCGTCAAAGTTGAAAGTTCAGGTAGATCTACGTCTGAGAGATACATGGAAAATCTATTCTTTTTCGAATTTCATTCTAGACACGCCTTCTACAGGGTCCGACATGAACAAATCATCAGATACTCACAATGAACATCATCATCGTGGTGACGATAATTCTAGTACACGATCAGGTATGATTAAGTTTATCGACTTTTTTAATGCAACCGCTTATACAATCATCTGTTTAGATCACTCATCTCACCGTGATAACCAAGGTCGATATCGTGATCGAGACTCACAGCGACCGGGTCGGGGTGGCTTTGATCGATCATCGTCGTTTAACAGGTAAAATTCATCAAAATCACTATTAGAAAATGAAGACATCGTTTATTTGTTGGTTTAGAGATCGTTCACGTTCACCACGTGATCGACATAGTCACTCACGAGATGATCATTCGTTTGGAGATGACCATCGTCGAAATGGTGGAAGAGGTGGACGAGGCGGAAGTAATGATCATTTTGGTCGCGGTGGTCGCGGTGGACGAGGTGCTGGTCATCATAACAATTCACGTGAACCACATCAATCACGTTTTGGTCCTGATAATAATCAACCACCACGACATGATCGTCGAGAAGGCGGACGTGGAGGTAACAGAGGTGGCTTTTATGATCGTCAGCGAGACATGAATCCCCATCATCATCATCATCATTCTAGTGAACAGTTACCACCAGGTAGTCCATCGATATTTTAGAAATACTTTCTCTAGACTACAATTTCCCTTTAGATAATCATCCATTTAACAGAAATGGACGACCAAATTATGACGGAGCACTATCTCAAAATCGACCTTTTCAAGAAAGTTTTCAACATGGAAACTATGATCCAATGGGACCACCTCAACAAAATCGTCCCAATCTACCCCCACCAGCAGTATCGAATCGACCAGATTTCTATCCTCCAAATTCAAATAATTCATCCTATTCACAACCTCATACGCGTAGCGACGGTCGTCCAAGTCGATTCAGTGATCGACAGGATGACTATGATGATAATCAACCTCTTACAAAACCAAATTTCTCTCTCCCAAACGTTACTGTCACAACTGCACCACTTTATTTTAATCAACCAACTAACCCCACATTTAGTCAAGCACGTCCACCGATGATGTCAACATTTTCTTCACAACAAGGAGTACCTCCTCAAGCTCAACAACCACCGCCATTTGGTTGGGGTAATCAACAACAACCACAACCACCACCACCACAGCAAGGAGGTTCCAATACCTATATGAATCAAGCATTAGCATCTATCGCTTCGAGTAGTCAATCAAATCCAAATATGCCCACAGCTCAATCATCTAATCCTTTCTATGGCAATAATAACGATTTTCATCGGCAGCCACTCCCGCCATCTGCGAACCAACACTATCCAGGTATGCCGCATCCTTCTTCTCAAACAGGTGGAAAACCATCTATTGCAAATAGTAAGTATTTTCACACGGCTGACATTGAAATTTACTATCTGTCTTTTTTCCGATTTCCAGCTCAATCCAATCCTTCTTTAGCTCCGCCTCAGTCACAAATACCACCATCAACAACTGGGGCAAATTCAGCAGCGAATGCTAACAATGCCGAAGCTTGGCAACAGTACTATCAACAATATTGGTAGGTTTCGAAATCAAACGCGTGTCTGAACAATAAATGTGAGACATTCATCCCTCTCTTTCATTACAGGCAATATATGCAGCAGCAGCAACAACAACAGCAACAAACAGGTGTTCAACCACCAACCGCTCTAACTAATAATTCTCAGCAATTTCCACAAGGTTTGTCGCTGAGGAAAATATAATTTACTGAATACATGAAAACAATTGTTGATTTTCTAGGACCAGCAGTAAACTCATCTTCTGCAACTAGCAATACTCAAGATGCTGCGTCGAACCAGGCCAATACCAACGCATGGACTCAATACTGGTAGGTTACATCAGTCGAAACACATCTATGCACAGACTAGTTTATTTTTGATGAACATAGGATGCAGTGCCAAGCTTATATGCAGCAGCAACAACAGCAGCAGCAGCAGTCACAATCTCAGAATCCATCTACAACAACTTCAGCGACAATCACCGCCCCATCGCAGCTTTACTCTCAAAGCGCTGGAAAACAACAAGCTTCATTATCCAATTCCGCATCAAACACAAACTCATTAGCTGGTACTCCTGTATCGAATTGGCAAACATGGTTCAATCCCAAAGGATGAAGACAAAACATATATCTTGTTGTTTTTTTGTCAGATGGATGAACAATCTCCGTTGAGAAAAAAAACATTTCAACCACTAACACCTCTTGTCTGGTTTTGGTTTATGTAAAAATGACTAATGTTTCCTTGTTTTCTTTTCGACACTTGTGCTCTATGCCTAATTGTATTGTTGTCACTGTATGTTTTCTTACTTTTTTCTCTTCTATACATACATTCGTGCACTCTGTTTTTCCTGTTTCGATATAAACAAGTTTCAAAACATAACAACATTTAACGGACAAGTTCAATGGTGATAATCTATCAATTTGTTTACATGTCCTTTTCTTCTTTTGCAGAAGTAAACATGGAAATTGACTCGATAATTATTCAAATTGATGAACCTAACATAGACATCGCACAGCAACCACCACAACAAGAGGACGATGTCGAAAGTGACGAGTATGATCAAGTCTTCCAATCAACTGAATTTTGTCGTTGGAGAAAAAACTCTCCTTATCTGTACAATATGTTATTTTACGAACTACTTCAATGTCCATCGCCAACGGTTCAATGGCTTGACTATCACACTGTGAAAGGTGATCCAAAATGTGATTATTATCGACTGATCATTGGTACACAAGGTGGACGAACACCTACTGATTCACGCAATGAGCTAACGGGTATATAGCAAATGTCAAGGCTTCGATGAATTCACCGGTGAACACGGTGGTTATGAAATGGGTGTTCGAGGCTCAAGTAAAAATTTTTCCGTTTTCAATCGTGAAATAGCATCGAACGATTTTGTCTTTTCATCTTCAGTACATCCTTACGTACCAATGTATCATGTTGGTGACGTAAATAAAGCTCGTGCTATGCCTCAAAATACATTCAAAATTGCAAGCTTCTCGTCGACTAACGATATATTCTTATTTGACTATAGTAAACATCCAAGTAAATTGAATCCGGATGGCATTTCTCGACCACAAGCTATCTTACGTGGACATACAGATGAAGGCTTTGCTTTATCGTGGCATCCGATCCAGCAAGGTTTGCTATTGACTGGTGCCCAAGATGGAAAAATGTGCTTGTGGAATGTTGAAAAAATGTCCACTACTCCCGTTCCAACCACACCGACCAATGGAATCGAATGTAATACAATCCTTGACCCAGTTGAAACATTCGATTCCGAACGGAAACTTGTTGATGCTATTCAATGGCACCCAAGGTAAGAGCGTGTTCATCTAATGAAGTTCAAGAAAACGAAAACTCACTTTAAACTGTCTGAATTTTAGTCATCCAGCTGTTTTCGGTGCAGCAGCTGGTTCGGGTACTCTGCTCATCACTGATCTTCGTGCATCCTCAGGTAGTGCCTCGCTCGTAGAATCATTATTTCCATCACCAACGTCATCCTCGAAAACTCTTCAATTTCGTGTCAAAGTTCATTCAGCTGATTGCAATTGTCTTGCATTTCATCCAATTAATGAATATGCTCTACTAACTGGTTCTGACGATACAACAATTGCTCTATGGGATATGAGAAATCTTTCCAAAGAAGTTCGACGTTTTGATCAACGTCATCGAGATGGTATACTTCAAGTTGCATGGAGTCCATTAGCACCAAGTGTATTTGCATCCAGTAGTGCTGATCAACATGTCTGTGTCTGGGATTTGAAATCGCCTGATGGAGTTATTTTTGATCATAAAGGACATGATTCACGTATACCTGATATAAGTTGGCATCCAACGCGACCGATGATTGCATCAGTTGCTGAAGATTCATCATTTCAAATCTGGGAAGCAAGTGTCGTCGAGAATCTTATCAATAATGTTTAGAAACATGGAGAAATATAGCCAAAACACAAATATGTATCTGTTATGGTCTTTCTGTTTATTTTTCTTTGTATATTCCAATATAACTTTAATGATGACTGTTCAAACGCCGGTCTTATGATTTCTTTGTCAAATTCCAAAACTTGTATTTGTCCTACTAGTCAAAATATATGTTCTCTTTTGATAATATCTGATCACATTTAGTTCTACTCGACCAACATTCTGTGTTAATATCAATCATATCTCTTCGTTTGTAAACGAGATGCTACTTTTTTACTAGTACATCTCGGTTCATGTATTCATTCAATCAATTAATATTTTGCTATATATAACATCATTCTAATTAGAATGTTTGTTGCCTATTTAGTCATTGTTTTCGTTACAGCATTGTTCCACTACTAAAATATTCTTCTGCACTGAGAATGAATGCAAATATTAGAGTATCGAAATAACGATAAACTGATCTGTAGTCGTGAAGTACACGTTCTCATCGGATGTAAGACCACGTACTTCTACCTGTGACGAAAATATGGTGATTAACTTTTACTATTCTTTCTTCGTCAAACACGAAGAAAAACATGACGCAAGGCATGACTTTTCATATATTTTCCGCATATTCGTGTGTTGAGCTCAATATGAAATGAATACAAACAACGCATATGTTGTTGATACTAGCTCCTGTAAGAACCTATTTATTCTTGATCCAACTTTACGAGTTCCATACTTCTTAAATTATTCAGTATGCCCTTATCTTCATCATGTTGATAATGACATAAACAAGTCACTCTTGAGTACAGTCACCCATGCAAAGTATTTTGTTTACTTCTCCCTATGATTTATGGACATTAATACCTAAGAAAACATGAACAAATCATGTCACAGAAACTAGAGAAACGACAGTGAATCATTCATATTTCTTGTTCTATAAACATTAATCAAGCATAGTACTTGCTTATTCTCATTAATAGCCCATACATTTTGTTTTGCCGAAACGAAAAGAAATACGCTGTATATCGGTAATTATATCATACAAATATTTTTTTTCTCGTAGTTTACCTTTGCAAAAAAAAGAATGATACTGTTTCGCTTCATTGCGCATTCATTTCGTCGGTATGCATTTGCTGTATTTACTCCTATAGAATAAGTACAAGAACAAACAAACATGCTAGAAACCATCTATGAAGTCGATGAGGATGTTCATCGTGAAGATTCATCGAAATCCACTCAACAGTAAGCGAAAACAAATGTTTGAGATAAACAATGAAAAATTCAAAATCGTTTTAGGCAATCGCAATTTTCCGTCTATATGTGTTGGTGTATGATTACGGGATGTTTTCTTATATTAGTATTTCTTATTCTAATTTCTTTAAATCCTCAATATCTACTTAGCAATTCGGTTAACAAAATTAATAGTAAGATAAACTTGAACTCATCTAATTTTGATTGGCAATTTTCATAGGAAATATTGTCAATGTGCCATTGGACTCGAAAGACAAATCGGACTTATCGAAGAAAGTCATCGAGTATCTTGGCCTCTTTTCCCATCAGGTAATTACAGATTCAACAATATTCCTCCATATTTTCTCGTGATATAGATTAATAAACAATTGGGTCTTCAATCAAATCCAATTGCATTTCTAACTGTACCCATTTCCAATTCGTCCGCATTTGAATTAATGAATCCGAACGGGATATTATGGATTTATGGTCATGTGAAATATCCATCATCGTCAATTAACAATCCTCAAGACGAAGAAAGTTTTCATTCGAAACTAAAAATCAGCTTTAATGAACTGTCGAATCTGATCCAAACGATCGTTTTCAATTCTTCCCAACACCGACAACTTCAATTAAACTTATGTAGTTTAATCGGTAAGAATAGTAAATACTAAACAAACAAAATCTATATCAATTTGGTTTTGCATAGAAAACTCCACTTCAGCCACATTCATCTCCTTAGTGTCAATTCAAACCACAGAGAAAAACACTACCGATTCAACCATCCCCTTCGATCCTATTACATGCGGTATGTCTATTTAAGCACATAGTTTTGCAATACACTTTGCTTCCGTTTTAGAAGACATAGATCAACATCTTCAGCTAACAGAAACAATTGATGATCTGATATCACAAAGTGAGAGTAACCTTCGGATATGGAAATTGATAAGAACAATGTTATTTTAGATAACTCCACGCTAATCGAATATAACGATAAAAACAGCAATATTCAAAAACATACTAAGAAGCATCGTGACTCCAGACAATGTACTAAATATCATGAAGGTCAACATCAGGAGACCGCCCATTGTTCTAATGATATTAGTACGCCAAAATTACTAATGTCGAATCTATTCTAATAGATTTTGCGTGATGGAAACCGAACATTGAAAGATTTCTTCTCTTCAGCCAATTCCTATCGAATATTTTATAGTTTTCTATTTAATAAATTTCAACCTCTCAGTATGAAATCAAGCAAGACAACAACGTTTTATTAACATGAAACAAAAAAAAACATTCACCGGATAAAAAATTTCCTTTCTCTTAGTGCTGTTTTGAAGTATACCTATAACTGTTCACAAGAAATTTTGCTTGTGTTATATCCCAACCCATTGCTTGTGCTTTCGAAAGGAAATCTTCATAGAGATTCTTCGTCACTGTATGTAATCGATCTAGATCGATCCAAGAGATATTCGATGGAATGATGTAGAATTCGTCGAAACGAGTGGAGTGAATCAAATATTGAAGGAGAAAATAACATTGGATCAGGTCTTGATCATTACAAGTATCAGTTAGCACGACATCAAAGCGATTGGACGATTGATTGAATGAAATAGCGAAATGATATCGAAGAAATTGATCGATATTCATCGATTTGACTTCATTTTCGTTTAGTCGCATTCCAACATAGCATTTCAATGATTGACAAACCTCCATCAGAATCGGTTCATGCCGATTGATGTAAGCAACTGTTGGCATTTCCTTCTTCGGAAAATAATTCTTGCAGATTAATACAAATCGATTCCAATTGAATGTTCGTAATTGTAACGTTCGAATTGCACGATAATTCGCAAACAAATGCAATGTCGTCAATGCAAAATATAAAAACCAAACAATAAATTGATCACGTTTGACCATATGCAATAGAAATATATTCACAACTAATGCCAAAAGATTGACAAGTGTTTCTTGAGATCCATCTTTTGCTGAAACATCACCCATGTTATGAGCGATAGCTTGATGTTGTGCTAATGCCGCTCGTGTTGATCCACCCGCGACACCCACAATCGAACGGCATAGATTAGAGAGACAGGCTATTGGTAAAAGTAAATGTTTGAAAAATGGAGCTAGTAAGTCAATCGATGTAGCTAGATCATTGAGAATATCCGCATAGAATCTCCACATTTTTAGATTACTGTCGAGACCTGAGAAGGACAGAAATATGATTTGTTTTCCAATGAATATTATATTTACCAGTGCCGTGAAGCCAAGCGAAGAGAATTCGACCTAACATTCCGACTCCATCTTTAACTAACCAGACGAATGTCGCTGAAAGAACAGATGCTTTCTCATCTCCTACACCCATTCCTTCTAAGATAGCACTGAAGGCTAATGCATTCGTGATAGAAGAGGCAAATGCTTGAACTGTATCCCTATAATGAAGAGTCTTGATTTAAACTTCTTGCAATCGGGCAAGTTTCATTTACCAAATTTGATAGCCAAGATAGTCACTGGACACTGACTTTGGATATCCAGCTGGTAGGAAAATCTCTTTTAAAATAGATAAAAACCATTGGTACAAAGTCTGTTGCTTTTGGTAATTGCCATCTTTTGTCGACTTCGATGATACATAGTGAAATCCTTTTGACGAGGAATAAATCCTTCCTGTCAATTGACCACGTTGAATCTCACTCAGTGACATATACCCTGATTTTAAAGTGTAGTAAAACTATCACAAAATGAGTGATTTAAACAACACGTTAGCTTCTCGTAACCAATCAAACGTTCGCAATACTTCGAAGTCATAAGTTGTCGCTTTGTGTCGGTAAGGGGAAGTTTATTTCAATGGAAAAAGGCTATTATAAAAAAACACTAACATCTTTACCAGCTAAAGACGAGGGATTAATGACGAGAGAGTCCAAAAACCATGGCACCAAAGCTAGCAACCGATCCAACGGTACGAACCAAATGTAAAACTGCCCATTTATCCAGCAAATCTTTCTTTGCACCAACATTTATTTTACTTTCGTTTCCTGCATCAACACTTTTATTATCTCCAATAATCGCGTTGTTAACTGGTGCAATGCATGCTAATGTATATGGAATGATGGCTAGAAATGTTGTTCCTGCTATAATCCACAAATTACGATCGAATGGAGAACCGTGAATACGTGTTGCATGTGCAATACTTGCCACACCGGCAATGGCAGCTAAGCATCCCTGTGGTGGTGCTGAATTTTTGTACATGTACGGAAAAAATCGCCAATGATCATTAAGACCAAACTGACGTAATGCAGGCACCTGACCAATCGAAACATAAAGGGCTGCACCGGCGAAGAGTCCACCACTGACCACAGCAAGTGTATCGAGATAATCGAGGAATGATATTGGATTTGTTGGCATGTTCGATGATAGATTGAAATCTTCAAATGAGAAAAGAATCTTTATTACAAACAGAAACTACATCAACACACACACACAAACATTGCATGAGAAAAACACAATCTTAGTTCAAAGTTTCTCGAACGAGAACAAGAAAGCAAGAAAGAAATAAAAATAGTGACAGTGATAGGTGAAATGAATTGACTAATCACAACTGACTAAATCAAACGTTCTTCTGGTGGTGGTTTTAAAATCATGCTAAATTCCATCCGCGACGTTTGACCATTTTCGTTTATTGCTGGATGATATGTACCTCGTAATCGACGGCTCTCACGTATACGGCCAGCAATAACTGTTAGTAAGATAATAACCATTAACAGCAAAATCGCAATACCCGGCCATATGATATAATGATAGGAAAAGCCAAAATAGTTCAAAGCTTTTTGTTTGCTTTCACATTGATAGCCAGTGAAACCATATGGACATGTACAAAGATAACCATCAATCTGATCGATACAGGTACCGTTATTCCAACATGGATTACTTCGACATTCATTGATTTCCGTACTACATTTTTCATCTTCGTAACCTATTTTAACAGTCAGATTGTAAAAAATTTCGTACAAAGACTATCAGCTATTCTTACCAGTCCCAGTGCAATTACAGAAAAATTCTTCTTTTATATTCGATAAACATGTTCCATTATGTTGACAAGGTTCCGATTCGCACGTTAATAATTCACAATGTGTGCCTGTAAAATTCGCCGAGCATTCGCAATAATAATGTTCTCCCTCAGTTCTACATTGTCCATGGTTAAGACAAGGCGATCGTTCTAGACAGACATGTTTCTGCTGACAATTTTTGCCCAGATAATTCTTCTGACAATGACATTCATATCCACCAAATAAATTCACACATGTTCCATTATTTAAACAAATATTCGTTTGATTTACTTCGCATTCATTGACATCATATTGACATTCATTTCCGAACCACTCGACTAAGCATGAACACTTCGCTTGACCATTTGACAATCGTTGACACGTACCATTGTTCTGACAAATTAAATTTGAACACGAATCATGTTCACACCATTGTCCATAATAACCATTTGCACATTGACACTCCGTTTCTGGATTATCAACATAAAAATGTGCACTTTTCAAAATACATATGCCGTTATTTTGACATGGATGCGTTCGACCAAAACAAGTTTCATTCTTCGACTTTGTACAATGAGCATTTATATAATCATTCGTACATTGACATGAGTAGCCATTGATTAGATCAATACAAGTACCGTTATTTTCACAAGGAGACGATGAACATTCGTCGATATTTGTTTCACAACTAAAAGATCATAATAACAAGAGTAAAGAAACGAATTTTGAAATATACTCAACAACTTACTAAAGTCCAGTAAAACCTTCATCACACTGACATGTGTAATATCCATCAATATGATCCACGCAAATACTATGCTCTTTCGAACAGTTATTACCTTGTTCACATTCGTTAATATTGACTTGACAGAAATCTCCGTACCATCCCGGATGACAAACACATCTGCCTTGATCGAAATCACTCATACATTGTCCGTTTTGACAATCCATATCATCACATATATGATTAAATGTACAATTATTTATCTGAATGTTTTCAATTTGTTCTGTAAAGAATTTGTTCGTGCGTGTGTCATTTTCATAGATCATATCGTTATAAAACGGTATGTAGAGATTTTCACCAATTAATAAATATTCCAGACAACCACGAAAGCCATTGCCGATGAATATTTGTGTTTGTCCATTTGATGTTAATAATGATTTTAGCGATAAATTGATTGTGTATGTGTACAAATAATTGATGGTTAATGTGGAAAAATCCGACCAATGAAAGTGAAATGTTGCCCATTCATCGAATGTTTCATTGTTCAATTCAATAATCAAATCGGTTATTCGAATGGAATCACGATAGAGAAAGTTATTTCCATGCAGATACAACGAGAAGTAACTCGATGTGTACAAATTCTTCACAGTTAATAAATGAGCATGTTGAGAACGTGCACGAAGTCGGAACGACAATTCATTGGAAATCTGTGAAACTGAACTGTGATGTAATGTGGCAATTAAACTGCTGGTATTGCCTTCAAATGTCGCCGTCGCCAAACCTAAACAATGGTGTAACGCTGAAGATCTTCGAAAGAATTGATCAGTTGAACTTACATTCTTGATTTTCGTCGATTACTTTGCAGATAAATCCATCAGGACATAAACTTTGATTATGATAATTGCAGATATTGGGTTCCGAGCAGTTCCGTCCAAACCAGTTCGTATTGCATTGACACCTGATGAGTGATGGAAATGAAAGGAAGTAAATCAAAATTAGAAAACTATCTTTGACAGAAAGTTTCCCCAACATAATTGTCGTCACATCAAAGTATTTCTGTATGACATGCAGACGCAATGTCTCATCTTACATCGATAAACGAAGAGATACAAAAGAAAAGATGAATTGTATACACACACACACACACACACATTGAATAAAAGGAACAATGTGAAGATTATAGTCTCTACTCAGAGTTTAATCGTCTAACTAGAATGTATCACTTCATTGTAAGAAAGAAAGAAATTCCCATCAGTACGAAAGTTGAACACTTACGAATAATCATTTGAATTCGTCACGAGACAAATGCCTTGATTCAAACATGGATTGATTGGGTAACATGGATTTGTTTCTAATGATTTCATATGGAAGAATGTTACATTGAAATCTTTTTGTGACTGTTTCGTTCGATCAAATGGAATCAATTGATCATTGATACGTACATCTTGCAACCAACCTTGTAATAACCCATCACCGAGTAATTCAACTTGATTTGGTAGAAAGGTATGATTGGTTTTCGTCAATGTTTCATTGTAAATGTCATCGATAAGTAGCCGATAATTGTCTAAATCAAGTTGAATATAATGTGTTTGTCCGTCATTGAATCGTTGCTCGCTGCGCAACTCATATTCTTGTCGTTTAGGCCCATCGTCGATAATAATCAATCGAAAATGACCGTCGATGAAGCCTCCGGTTATTTTTGATGATGACGGATTTGTTGATAAAGTATTACGAACAAATCGATACTGTTTAGACGATACAATAAGTTCAAATAGAGTACCGTTTAATTGCAATGTATTAAAGAAGAGAGAGATGTTTGCTATAGGAGACGAAAAAATGACATTGGCAACGCTATTTTCATTGAAGGAAACAATTGGAGCGACTAAAAGACTAACTTAGAAAAGAAAACGAAAAAACAAAACTGAAAATTTTACTTTGATCACAACGTTCACCGAAGAAAGGTCGTTGACATTGACATATATGGTAAAACCAATGATCTTGACATATCTCATTCTTTCGACAAGTTGAATATTGACAAGCATTTGTTCTATGCAAACAAACAAGGATCGTTCATACAAGTCGAATCAGGTCCAAAACTCACTTTTCACAGCCTAGAGTACGATTTTCGTTCGTTTCAATCAATTGATCAGTTAACAAAATTGAATAAACTTGACTGTATGTGATTTCGATGTTTCTCACACAACCTGAATAGTTTTCGAGACCAAATATAACTTGATTATTGATCAAATTTGCTAACGATGAATTCGAAACATAAAATCGTTGCGAGAGAGAATTTTTTCCGATTCGCACATCAATCCATAAATGAAAAACTTCGACACTCATCATTAACCAACTTTCATCATAGTCAAATGATGTCGACAGCAGTGTTTTGTTATCTAAATTCGTTACTATTCGATACTCAAGTAATTCTTGTTTAAAACGTTGACCAATCGAGAGCAACGAAACATGTTTCAATGTCGTACGAAATTCATATTGAATCCGAATGGGTAATGACGAATGACGATACGGTAAACTTTTTGATATGTTGATCGATGATGAGCGTAAATGAAATGTTGAAGATAAGCTTGTGTGATAAACAAACGATTTACTGATTTCACTTTGTTTGCTTTCACAATGATAACCATACCATCCCGACTCGCAACGACATTGGTAACCATTGATGAGATCCAAACATTCACCATGCGATGAACATGGATTGGTATAACATTCATCAATGTTCACTTCGCAAAACAAACCAGTAAATCCAGCTAAACATGAACATTGAATTAATTCATTTGTTGTTAAACAGGAACCACCGTTGAGACAGAAACTTCGATTGAATTTGGTTAGACATAAATCAGGCGAATGTTCGCATGTTCTGCCTTGATAATTCAATGTACATTGACATTCGTATGTGTTATTACGATTGAAACA